TTGTGCTTTTTCAGTTGTTGAACGTCTGATTGTTGCCCTCTGCCCTTGTCTCAGAGTTCCTAGCTGTACCCATGTTGGATTACTTGCCGTTTCTTGGATTTATTAAACTACTGCTCATCTCGGTTTTCCTCATCTTGTCTCTGCAACGTTACGGTGTTATGTTTTAAACGGTGTTTTTGCTCAATTTTGCAGAGAACACTACCTTTAAAGCCATAGCAGAATTGTGGCATTTCTCCGAGCAGCACAGCGGTGTTTAGTTTCTGAATGATTCTGCATTTTGAATGTGAATAAATGATTCAAAGACCCATTCACAAAAAGCCATTTACTACATTTCTGAATGAATCAGCCGTTTGAATGGATTGACTGACTCATAGACATTTACCGCCACCTGCTGGCAGATTTGGTTTCTTATTTAGAATATCATTTCATAAAAATACAAAAATAAAAACATTAAAGGCATAGTTAATCCCAAAAAAATCTACTTCTGTCATATTTACACACCCTCATGTTGTTTCAAACCTTTCTTTTGTAGAACATCAACGGTATTTTGAAGACCGTTGGTAACAAAGCTGGTTTGGTTACCAATGACTTAATTGTATGTGGCATTTCTCCGAGCAGCACAGCGGTGTTTAGTTTCTGAATGATTCTGCATTTTGAATGTGAATAAATGATTCAAAGACCCATTCACAAAAAGCCATTTACTACATTTCTGAATGAATCAGCCGTTTGAATGGATTGACTGACTCATAGACATTTACCGCCACCTGCTGGCAGATTTGGTTTCTTATTTAGAATATTTCATAAAAATAAAAACATTAAAGGCATAGTTAATCCCAAAAAAATCAACTTCTGTCATATTTACACACCCTCATGTTGTTTCAAACCTTTCTTTTGTAGAACATCAACGGTATTTTGAAGACCGTTGGTAACAAAGCTGGTTTGGTTACCAATGACTTAATTGTATGAAAAAAATATATATATACACCGAGATCTTTCTCAAATCATCTTTTATGTTCTATAGTTTTTGTTAGGCTTTGTAGCAAATCAAATCTTTCTTTCTAAAGCTACAATTTGTAATGTCTAAATTTCTCATTTAACACAAATAGCTTTAATCTTTTGTGGGTATTTTCAGTCAAATTTATTTTGTGATTAATTAATCGACACATGTAATTAGATTAAAGATTTTAATCTACTGACAGCCCTAATTTAAACACATGACATACAAGTTTCAATACAAATTACATTAAAGTATATTTTCGTTTACCAAAAATGCTTTTCCGTACATTTGACACCACACTCTAACCAAAGACAACAGAATTATGCAATTACACAAAGATACACTGAAGTTCTACTTAAGTGGGTCAAACAAGCACTTTCAAGTTCAACTAATTGCATTTAAAATAAATACATTTTCATTTAACTGAAAATAACATGCACTTAAGTGTCTGAAAACATTTCAGTTCGCACTTAGGTATATAATTTTAAAGTACATAATTTCTGTAATATGATCACTTTTTCCACAAAAGGAAGGCTTGAAATATAGCACACAAATCATTTTTGACTACTACAACACTAGCAACCAAAGGTTACAGAAGCAATGACTCATGCATAATAGGAAACCAAAAAAAAAAAAAAGGTTTGCCGCCTATCTTCAAGAACATGCATATACAGAATGAATACACTCAGGAAGCAATGCAAAATGTACGAAACAAAAACTATTCACCAAAGGCAGGTTTGTCATATCCTAGAGATATTTTGAAATACATACTATAATAACGGCTCTTTTCAAATGAGTGGATTCAGCATATTCCTTGTGCAATCTGCTGACTGACCTGTCTGCGCAGGAATGCTCTCATAATGGAGAAACCATGAGGCTTCTTTCAGCTTGGAGATGCCTGCGGAGGGGAGAAGGCTTTGCTTTAGAGTGTGCATTAGCCCGTTCATACCTGGGGGCCAATGAATAGAGCCCTCAGGTAAGCCTTGTTGAAACAAATCTAAGCTGCTAATGACACGCACCGTGAAAATATTCACAGTTCATTTAGCTTGATGACAACTGCAGCCCCCCGCTCCGCTGTTTTGTATATTAGTCATACCTTCGTGTCGTAATCTATGACAATAACAGCCGTTTCTAGCATAATGCATGGGAAAACCTATTGTTAGATAATATCTCATGTTTTCTTTACTGTACATGTTCAATACCAAAAAAGAAAAGCTCACTTGATATGATGTTTATGGCATGACAAGGGCTTAAAGGGAGAGTTCACACAGAAAATAAAATTTAAGAATTTATTCACATCCTCAAACTATATATATATATATATATATACAAGATAACAAGGAGATAACAAGGGATGGGTCAATGTGATTAATTATCATGGTAACTAACTAGGGTGGCAAACAAGGGAAACTATGGCAAGCAGGAAAACAGGAACTGAACACAGGAAGCAGACACAGAAACAATAGGAGAATCCACTTCAAAACAACAGTCCTTAACACAAGACAGGGGAACACAGGCTGGAATCATGACAACTGCACACAGTCACGCTCCAAGTGTTTTTATATGGTTAGTTATTACAAACATACGTTTTTTAAAATAAACTCAAAATCCATGTTTTTGTTATGGGTGTGTTTAATTTACATTGTAGAGCAAAACGCCCAAGTATCGTCAAGTTTATATTTACCACATACCTTGTTTTACACATAAATTGAAAAACCCCATAATAAAAACCCATAGTAAAGTCTAAAGAGATTGAGAGTTAGTCTTCTGGGGTTTGACGTCATAGCTGCAGCACTCTAACCACCAGTTCCCCAAAACGTAAAATAGTTATGAATTGCTGCAAGGTTGTTTTGGTATATGTAGGCCTAAATGTTACTTGCGCACAGATTTCCATTTATTTGTCATCAAACTTTTAATATACATTGCTCATTTAGGCCTACATATACTACGCATCACATGTAGCCTACTAAAAAATGGCCTACTAAAAATAGCCTACTAAAAATGGCCTAATGGTTAGAGAGTCGGACTCGTAACCCAAAGGTTGTGGGTTTGAGTCTCGCAGGGATTGTAGGTGGGGGGAGTGAATGTACAGCGCTCTCTACCAGTGAATGTACAGCGCTCTCTCCACCTTCAATACCACGACTGAGGTGTCCTTGAGCAAGGCACCGAACCCCCAACTGCTCCCCAGGCGCCGCAGCATAAATGGCTGCCTACTGTTCCGGGTGTGTGTTCACGGTGTGTGTGTGTTCACTGCTGTGTGTGTGCACTTTGGATGGGTTAAATGCAGAGCACTAATTCCGAGTATGGGTCGCCATACTTGGCCACATGTCACGTCACTTTAAGACTTATAATACATGGGTCATATGGACAATGTTTTATTTATATAATTTTTGGAACTTGGCAGAAGAGGTCAATTTTATAGAAAAATACACTCTTTGATAAAGTTTCCAAGAGGGGGGTTTGCAGTAATTCAATAGAATAATCATTTTTAGTTCCATAAAATAACCTTTCAGTGAACAGTTTTTAAAAGAACCATTTTTTCTTAGTGCAAAGAACATTTTAATAATCTAAATAAGCTATTTCCTCTATAGAACCTTGCGAGCAATGGAAAGGTTATGTGGATGTTAAAAGTTCTTCATGGAACAATAAATGGCAAGAGTTTATGATATAGAAATATAGAATGCATAAAATATAATGTATAAAGTATGTGTGAAGATTCTTCAAAACATTTCATTTTGTGTTCCAACGTCATATGGGTTTAGCATCACATGAAAGTGAATACATAATGACAGAAACTCCATTTTTGGGTGAACTGTCCCTTTAAGACCAATAATTTCCCAGGTTGTTGAAGTTCAAAGAACTTTAAACTTGGCGAAAGTCACGCATACTGTGTCCTAATGCTGTTAACATACAGATAACACACTCTGTCGGAGCTTAAATTAGCAGCTATCGTCGACTCTTACTGGTTGGTTTGACTTTGGTAAGTGGGGGCATGACACTACATCGGGCACCACTGAAAAGCCAGGTGAGTGATAAAGATTAGGTGTTGGGAAAGCACAATGTCATCGCTGTACACTAAGCTTTAAGACACCACATTGACATCTGCTCAAGAACGCTTTAGTCTCCAAACTCTAATTTACAGTTAGAGTTTCCTTCTTGGTTCATCTGAGAGCCGTTATCTTGTTTCTGCCCAAACCAACAAGTATGCTGAAATGCAAATTGCATCTGGCACCAAGGCACAGTAATTTTACGTAATTACTACAGCTTGATACCAGAGTACGCTCCCGCAGCATGGCACGGAGCCATCACAATAATCAGTAATTGCTCTCCATTTTTGACGCAAAAATACAGAAACACCCATTACTCTGTTCCACAGCAGCTTGATAATGCCACATTACAGAAAAATCCTTCACCAACTTCTATTTTGTACGAACTCAACACCTGTAGGGCCCGGCGTTTTAATCATCTGCTTGGAATAAATTGTAGTCATCATCATAACCCTAATCACAGTAATAAAAAAGTCCTCATCCTCTTGCCAAATTACTGTGGCATTTGATTTACAGTAATTGTGCGGGAGAGGAGGGGAGTTTACGCTATGCTTCGTCTCGACCGGCGGAGTCCAAACACGCACCTGCGGGACTTACACCTGAGAAGGGCCCGGGGCCGGATCCCAATGATATGCCCACATTCCCCGAGGCACACAATGACTAACATTGTGACATATACAATAAACCAGGTGTGGAGGGTGATATTTTATTATTAGCCTAGAAAATGTCATTTTCAAAAGATTATATTCAAGAGCATTACACATTAAGAAGGTACTTTGTTATGAAAGATGTCTAAACCTCTGAACTGCTATTTCTGGATGTAATTATGTCATTACGTTGTTAGGCACAGACAGGGACCCAAAGTTTGCAGTCGGTAAACGTTCAAAATGTTTTAAAAGAGATTTTTGAAAGCAACAATACACAATGACACATGTTTGTTTCTTTTTGTTTGCTTCTTTTAATACGGTGATAATAGTTTTAAACAGAAAAATGGAACAAAGACAACAAATAAAAAAAAAAGAACGATCTCCAGGACCTTTAGCTTGATTTACGAAAATTCAAGTATTTTTGTCGCCCATTTTCAACAGGGAAACACTATAATCAGAAGATTAGACTCAATCATGTGACCAACTGAAAGTGACCTCACATTTGTTAGACATAATTCAAAGTCTGATGTGAGAAATGCCTCACCAAATGTTGAAGGAAAAAAAAAAGGCTTGCAGACATCTGCCATTAATTTTACTGACAATACTGGGCTGTAATAACGGAACCGTAATGTGCGAGAGATTGCTTTTTTGTAACTCTAGTCATTTAGTTTGGCAGTAAGACAGATATAACACTGCAGAACATTATTCAGAAAAGCATGAGAAATCTTCAAGTAACATCTCCTTCAAAGAGACAAATTAGTGTTAAACTCTTAATTAGTATATATAGCTATATGTTTCTCAGCCCTCATTGCATAATTTAGTCCTTTAGAGCCCTAAACATCCATGGCATTCAGTACAGTACAGGCTCCTCTGTGGTGTTCTATGTAGGTGCTCCGGTTTTTTGGCTAGCCTGCATCCGCAATCTCCTCCTCGCAATCGCTTCCTGTTTTTTCCTCTCAATCTCAGCAGCCGAACATTTGGCTATCGTATGGGATGAAATAAAAACTGCAAAACAACAAAAACAAAAGTTTTGTTATGGTTCTGTGCAATGTAACTGGGAGATGTGAATTTTTAAAAGTGTGAACTGTAATCCCTGAGTTTCAATGTTTAAAGGAACACGCCACTATTTTTGAAAATAGGCTCATTTTCCAACTCCCCTAGAGTTAAACAGTTGAGTTTTACCGTTTTCGAATCCATTCAGTCGATCTCCGGGTCTGGCGGTAGCACTTTTAGCTGTAGCTTAGCATAGATCATTGAATCTGATTAGACCGTTAGCATCTCGCTCAAAAATGACCAAAGAGTTTCTATATTTTTCCTATTTAAAACTTGACTCTTCTGTAGTTACATCGTGTACTAAGACCGACGGAAAATGAAAAGTTGCGATTTTCTAGGCCTATAATCTCTATAGTCTCTATAATCTCATTCTGGCGTAATAATCAAGGAACTTTGCTGCCGTACCATGGGTGCAGCAGGTGCAATGATATTACGCAGCGACTGAAAATAGTCCCCAGCTAGGTAACTTCCAACGGAAGGCACGCTCCCTGTGCAAGCAGGTGGTCACGTTGGTTATGTTGATGGAAGTTAGCCTATTTTCTATTTTTTTTTTTTACTCAACTGTTTAACTCTAGGGGTGTTGGAAAATGAGCATATTTTCAAAAATAGTGGAGTGTTCCTTTAATACAGCATAAAAGTGAATTACTAGTCACATTTTCGCTTGTAACAATTTTCGGTAACACTTTAGATTAGGGAACACATATTCATTATTAATTTAAGAGTTTTCCCTCAAACTCCTAGTTTGCTGCTTACTGGTAGTAAGTAAGGTAGTTGTTGTAGTAGTTATATTTAGGTATTTGGAAGGGTTAAGGGATCTAGAACACAGCCATGCATTAATATGTGCTTTATAAGTTTACTTTAAATATTAAACAGCCAATTTACTAGTAATATGCATCCTAATAAGCAATTAGTTAACAGCGAATAGTATTCTCTAATCTAAAATGTTCCCATATTTCTACTGCAAGTACATCAGAGGACAACCATAAGAGATAAAGGAATAGTTTATCCCAAACTTAAAATGACATTATTTACTCATCCTCATGACTGACTTTCTGCAATGGAACATTAAAAAAAAAAGAGAATTTTGAAGAATTTTCCCATTACTCCTTTCTATATGATGGCTAATGGCTGTCAAAGGACATCAACAAATATCATCAAAGCAGTTTATTATGCACAATATTTGGTCACACTTTAGTCTGGGGACCAATTTTCACTATTAACTAATCATTAACTATGACTTTTGCCTCAATAAACCCCTAATGTGCTGCTTATTAATAGTTAGTATTAAGTTTAGGTATAGCCTATGTGCACAAGCGTAGCGACGAACTTCCGCTGTCGACAGAAGTCGGGATATCAGTTTCCAGTTTTCATTCGCGTCACCCAAAATGTCAGTATTTTCTAGATGTCTCCGAGATCTACAAGTAAGAATCAGCGATGTCCATCGTATCGTTAATGCCCGGTTCTCTGCTCCAATACGCAAGCGAAACAAGGGATTCAAACGCAATATATCGAGTTATATGCACAAATAGTTTAATCTAATGTGTTATTTCGGCATCTAGCGGCTAAGCTAGTTAGCGACATGCTCATTTTAGAAGCTTGTCTTTCTCAATTTTAAACGCAGACTGTTCGTTTTTTTTTATAATTGTATTATCACTTGTATTAAACATCTCCCCCTCTCAGTTTTTAATAAAGATCAGGGTACAGGTGAAGTCATTGTCTGGTCATTGTGCTACAGGTCCATAATGAGGAATGCTGAGAAAACTCACAGTTCGAGTGTATGGTGAAGCTAGGATTGATAAACCTACAATTATAAGCGTGTTACTTTAATAACCCGGCGTTTTAATGTCCCGGGGATTTTGCCATGGTAATTCATGTTTAATATAATTTTAAAGTAGTACGTAATGAAAACAGTGGCTACAATTGGCAGGTGAGTTTACCTTGCTGGTCCCCATTCGGGTTACTGCATGCATTCTTGTTCATGTTATAATCATATTACTTATTATAACTCGGTGTTCCTGATGTTCCTAGAGATTCAGTTAAGGTCATTCATGTTTAATGTAACTCAAATCTAATGAAAACATTTACAGTAGGCAGGTAAGTAGTGGCAAATTAAGCGTTTTTAGCTGAAATGGCTTATTGTTGGATCTCAAAATTTTTGGGAAAAAAGTGGGCAATACTAGAGGTTTTATTTTACTCATCGTTAACGTGCAATTAAGTGTCCAAAAGCATCACATTTTGTTACAGTTAAGTATAATATTTTAAATTATTTCCATAATAAGTACTTTAAAAAAAGTTTGCTAAAGTGTTCTTAAATGGACCTGTAGCACAATGACTAATGACTTCACCTGTGCCCTGATCTTTATTAAAAACTGAGAGGGGGAGAAGTTTAATTCAATTGATAATACAATTATACAATTAATTACAATTACAATTAAAAAAACGAACTGTCTGCGTTTAAAATTGAGAAAGACAAGCTTCTAAAATGAGCATGTCGCTAACTAGCTTAGCCGCTAGATGCCGAAATAACACATTGGATTAAACTATTTGTGCATAAAACTCGATATATTGGGTTTGAATCCCTTGTTTCCGGGAACCGGGCATTAACGATACGATGGACATCACTGATTCTTACTTGTAGATCTCGGAGACATCTAGAAAATACTGACATTTTGGGCGACGCGAATAAAAACCGGAAACTGATATCCCGACTTCTGGCGACAGCGGAAGTTCGTCGCTACGCTGTGCACAGAGTCCATTGGGTAAGGTTAAGGGATCTGAAATATGGGCATGCAGAATAAGGCATTAATATGTGTTTTATAAGTACTAATAAACAGACAATACACTGGTAATATGCACGCTCACAAGCAACTAGTTAATAGTTAGAACTGGCCCCTAAACTAAAGTGTTAACCAATATTTTTTCATAAGTCACGAGAGAAACAAACTTAAAATGATTTATACTCAAAATATTTCCCTCTGTTGCATCCCTAAAGTCTCACTCAGGTTTCCAAACACTCGAACTTGATTGGTTTAACACCAACAGCATTGGTTCTCACGTTTCTCATAACCAATAGCCAAGTTTGAAAATGTGTAAGTGAAAATGAGATTTAAGAGTGACGGCAAGGGACATACTTTCAGGGAACTCAGGACCTGTGTTAACATTGTTTTGTTTTAGTCAGTTTTTGTCTTTTGACAAAAATACCATCTAAATGTAGTCAAATTTCATATTGTAACGTTCATTATATTTGATCAAGTTTACTGTGACTAAAATGGCGTCCTATTTATTCAACGAGAAAGTGCAACAATAAACCAAATATTCAAACATTTTATACATTAAACAAGCATCAACATTTAACAAAAACATGTCAGATGAGAATGAAAGGAGATCTCCTAAAAATAACGTTACGACAAGTACACTATTTTAATAATTGTAGCTAAGTAATAAGTAATTGTAACACTATTGCCTCCACCAACCTGAGTTTGATTACTATACTGTCTTATCCAATAAAGGCATAAAATGGCCTTGTAATTTTTGTAAACAGTATGTTTTATAGGGGTGGGAGAAAAAAAATCGATTCACCTAACTATCGCGATTCTTTTTAAAACGATTTAAAAATCGGTTGGTTTACCTCAGAATTGATTTATATTTAATTATTTTACTTTTCCTAAGAGGTGGTGGGGAGAAGTTAGCGCTTTTTAATTCCAACAGAGGGCAAAATGTATACAGTGCCATGAAAAGGGTTTTGCCCCCTTCCGTTTGTATTTTTCTGCATATTTGTCACACTTAAAAGATTCAGATCATCAAACAAATTTGAATATTACACAAAGATAATGCAAGTAAATGCAAAATGCAGTTTTTAAATGATGATTGGCTCAAGAAAAACAAAATTAAGGTTTTGGAGTGGCCAAGTCAAAGTCCGGGCTTAAATCCAATTGAGATGCTGTGGCATGACCTTAAACAGTCCATTCACCCTCGAAAACCCTCCAATGTGGCTGAATGAAAACAATTCTGCAAAGAAGAGTGGGCCAAAATTCCTCCACAGCGATGCGAAAGACTCGTTGCCAGTTATCGCAAATGCTTGATTACAGTTGTTGCCGCCAAGGGTGGCGCAACCAGTTATTAGATTTAGGGGGCAATTATTTTTTTCACATAGTGCCAGGCAGGTTTGGACAGCTTTTTTCCCTTAATAAATAAAATCATTATTTAAAAACTGCATTTTGTATTTACTCGGGTTATCTTTGTGTAATATGAAAATTTGTTCGATGATCTGAATCATTTAAGTGCGACAAACATGCAAAAAAAAAAAAAAAACAGGAAGGGAGCAAAAACATTTTCACAGCACTGTAGGTGTATGACATCAAAGTGCCGCGAGAGTGATTCGAAAGCATGCGACGCCGTCTGTTCTCTGTAGCTCTCGCGGTGCTTTGATAACGTCATACAACGATCGTTCTGCGTGCGCAGTGCTGCTGCATTAGATGACGTCATATACGCTTCAAGCCGGTGCGAGAAAGCAAAACCATGACGGAGGCAGAGGATCAAACCTCTTCCAGAATTCTTTCTGCACCTTCACGTTTTGAATCCTAAGTGCGGAAACACTTTGTATTTTACACACTGCCGGGAAAACATGACTAAAACGGTATGCAAAGTAACATAGCACTTTATTTTATTTCAGAAAGTATTTTTTCTACTCATTTTGTTGAACATTTGACTATTATATTCATGTGCAAGTTCAGGGTTTTGGTACTTGAAAGTTTCATGGTTCAAGGTACTTTAAATATACACTGTGTATGTGTATGCTCCTGAAATAAAAGTTCAGAAAGATGTGATGCATTGTTTTTGTTAATATGACTTATCATATACAGTCTCTTTTAAGGGTATAATCAAGTATTTTCAATTGTCTAGTCTTTAATAAGCAAACAAAAATCACAATAAATGAATAAATCAAAAGTAGGGCAGTACAATCACAATAATTGTGAAATATGCTAGTGTCTGTTAATATTAAAGTGCAAAAAGATGAAATATGAAGATAAATATGAAGTCTGTACTAAATTTTAAATTTGCATTAAATAAATCCAGAAACAAAAAATTCAAAATAGAAAACTATTTCTGGAAAAAAATAAGAGTTCATAGGGTCCTATTATTGTAAATTATTAATTTGTTAAAGTTTTATGAACTACATTGATTTGACATGTTTTTGATCATTTCATTTGAATTAAACTATTAAAAAATAATCCAGAAACAAACGAACAAACAAAAAAAAACACTGAATTTTGGAAGAATAAAACTGATTACTATAGGGCCCTAAAAATGTAATAAATTTGAATACACTGATGTTTAATTATTTAATTTCAATTAATTGATCATTTAAATTTAATGAAACCATTCAAACGAAAACTTTATGGGAAAAAATGGGCCCCAGTTTTAATTAAAATCATTTCAGTTATCATCATGATGCACAATTGTCTTGGTTCTCATTAATAAAAAAAATAAATAATAATAAAATTTTAAAAAAGCACTTTGTAAACTAACATTTTCATCAATTACTTTGTTGACAAGATTAGCAGTGCTTGAGTTTGTTCATCACACAAATGGCTTCTAAAGACTTGGAGTGCATGAGTCTACTGGACGACAGTTACGGTCATTTTATGGTGCTTTTTATGTCTTTTTGGAAAAAAGAAAGAAGAAGATAAAAAAAGAGACTGCTGCTGGTGTGCTTCCACTGCATTGAAAAGAGCATTGTGAATATTCCTGAAAACATTCCCTCGTGTTCCACAGAGGAAAGAAAGTCATAGGGGTTTGGATCAACATGAGGGTGAGTAAATGATGACACAATTTTCATTTATGTTTGAACTATTCCTTTAACAAGTTAAGCAAACTTGCCTATTACAGTCATCTCCTGTAGGAGTATTCAGTGATGCAATTTCAGAGCTTATGTGCTGCAGGTGCCACAACGTACAAAGCTTACCTTTGTTGGTGAGCGTCATGGAGTCCGACAGATGTCTTTTGAAGGTGTAATGGTGGGCGTTAGAAGCATTTCCTACTGTTGCGCTGTGTGGACTAACAGTCTGTGAGGTGTCCGTAGCTCTGACAGAACCAGGCCGGGGTCCTAAGCCGCTTTTCCCTTGTTCATGTCCATAATACTGTGCACTATGGCTTCCCAATCCAGAGCTGGAACTTTTAGTTGCCGGCAACACACTGTAGCCCTGTTTAAGTCCAGAACTGCTATTTGTACACGGTACTGAATTTGAGCGGGCAAAGATGCGTGTGGACTTTGTGGGTTCTCGTGGTTGGCTCTTATTGTTGATGCCCATAGTCTGAGCACAAATGGCGGCAGAAGAAGAAGGTGTTTTAGATGCAAAGCTTCTTGATTTGTCATGTGCAAGTTTTTTGTATGCCTCGTTCTGTCTTTGCTGTTCCTGACTGGCCGATAACTTCTCCACGTCATCGCAAGCCTGACAAAGGAGATCATTGTCTGCTTCGTCATTCCACAGACCATCGGAATCAAACAGAGACTTCATGTCCTCCTCTGAAACCCCATCAAACTTAGCAGAAGAAGCCTGACTTGAAACTCCACAATCTTTGGTCATTCCTTCAAGCTGGACTTGTCTTGTACTCTGGGATGAATGTGTTTGCTGCTTGACTTGGTCCACAGGTGAAGTCTTTAGCAGCTTGTCAGTAGCATGATTCTGGGCAGAAGCAGGCGGCTTTGACCTAAAAGTGCTTTGATTAGATGTTTTAACTTCAGGAAGTGTCTTGGTAAAGGTGCTGGTTTTGCTGGTGCTCTTTTGAGTCTCTAAGCAGAAGTTTACAGATGGATGAACCTTGGCCACAAAATTACATCTGCTAGAGCAAGACTCAGGCTGAGCAGTGCTCGGTTTCTGAGCTACATTCAAAGGTACTGGGTTCTGTGTCATTTCCAACACAAACGAGTCATTCAGAAGGTCATCGTTTTCCCAGTCATCATCAAAGTCCACCTTTGTGGTTTTAGGTGCATCTACAGGAGCGCTCTTGATTGCTGCAGAACTTGACTTTTGTTCTGCCGGTGCTACAGGTTCAGTTTTGCTTTCTGGTGTGCAGTTTACTGACGGTGGGCTCAGCCTCCCACTTATGTGCTGAGTGGGACCGTCAAACAATGCCTGAAGCTCCGCCTCTTCCTGACAGACTTGAGATGAGCAGCTGGTCAGTTGTTCTGATGAGACTTTGACAGATGTTGATCTTTCCGTTGTGGCTTTACCATCACTTTGTAGCTTAGTGACTTGATTTATTTTTTCTGTGCTCTCCTGTTTTTTCTCTTTGTCCTGACGAGTCATATTGATGTCAAACTGCTTGGCAAGTTTCATGAGGTCCTCAACATTGCTCTGCCTAATGGAAAGAGATTGGGACATAAATATGAAAATCACAAATATATGACAGGGATTTCTGCGTGTATGCCAAATAATGTCACTTGCATGGCTCTATTAATTTAAAAATACAAAAAGACACAATAAAAATGCAATTCGTACATATACGCTGATCTGAGCACACCTCTTCCAAGATGAGCTTTTGATTTTTAATTCGTTTTTAATTATTTTTTTAATGCCAAAAAAGCTTAAGAAGTCATAAATTGGCATGAAGCCAAAACTTTATTGGTATAAATGTTTTTCTATATGACAGGGATTTCTGCGTGTATGCCAAATAATGTCACTTGCATGGCTCTATTAATTTAAAAATACAAAAATACACAATAAAAATGCAATTCGTACATATACGCTGATCTGAGCACACCTCTTCCAAGATGAGCTTTTGATTTTTTATTATTTTTTTGAATGCCAAAAAAGCTTAAGTAGTCATAAATTGGCATAAAGTCAAACCTTTATTGGTATAAATATTTTTAAAAACTAATGAAACCAACATGAATACAAAAAGTACATTTCTAAAAACTTGCCACATGCATTTACAGTAGATTTTTAAAAGATTTCTGTAATCATGAATGTTATTTGACATTGACTCATTCTTTTATACAATGAGAAAAGAAAAGGGGAAAAAAGATGTAAATTAAGATTATTCGAACATTTTACAAGAAAATACTATTTTAGTCATCCTACTTCAAAATTTCACGTTAAATTCAATGTTACTTGCCCTTTCTTTATAATTATTTGAGAAATTTCCTAGCAGTTTCAGTCTGAAAATTGTTTCAAAGTAAATCCTACAGCAATTGTTTCAGTTCACTAGACATGGATGGTATGACCAGAATAATACACCACAACAGGGGCATTGCTAAGACCAGGAGCTCTATCTTTAAATAGTCTCTCAGTAGCCTCAAAATCCTGAAAGCTACAATACATTTCTCACGGTGTCACGGTGGTGAACTCAGATCCAGTGGTGTTATGGGGAAATAGATGCTGCAGAGATGGTTGGTGTGCTACAACTGTACAGTAGAGATCAAGTTCAAATTATAATATTAAATATGCATACAGTTGCATGCCAGGTAATACAGTCATATTACGTATGACAGATCCAAAAAATAAAATAAAATAAAAAATGTTTACAGCATCTTTCAAGTATTCATCACGTCTTTGATAATAGGACACATACCGTGCTGAGATCCTCCGGACTCTGGGCTGTCTGATCTCTGGAGTGCAGGGTATGGCACCATCTCCAATCCACTGGAGCACTGAGTCCCCTTCATTTGCCTTCTTAACCTTAAACATAGTTTACATTTACCATGATGACACCCATAATTTCCATTTTATTGTCTATATTTGACTTAATACTTACTTTTGGTGCAATTCTACTGACAATCTCCGATATTTCAATGACTCTCCCATCTCCTTGTCCTGTGAACAGTTACAAATGTATGCAAAAGTTACATTTTTCTGTAAAATATGCTGATACATAATACAGCAATCAGTTCACAAATATATCTACTGTTTATACCATTATCATAGATTGCATGAGACAAGGAAATGTGAAATAATACAACAAATACAGAGATGAATGTCTTGAGTCGGACACACGCACTTTTACCTTTTTAATTCCTTTTACTGCGTAGAGCATAGCTTATGTTTTATGTAACGTGAAACTTATCGTTCATTATTAGTTATGAACAATCTTGTTTTTTGGTTTGCATTCATGAAAGAAATGAAAACGAACCCTAATCTGTACAATTGTTTAAGAGGATATAAATACAGACTACTTGAAGTTTTATGATCACACTTGCCATTCAAGTTCTGAGATGGTGAGTTGGTATCCCAGATGATGTCTTGTGGGGATTCAGTCTCATTAGGCGAATCTCCACTGTAACAACCATTGAATCTGACTCTTGGTCGGCGTTTTGGGGTAGAAAAATCTGAGAATTAAAATAATTACAACACTACGGTTAGTATGGAGTTAATAACATTTCACGTCGACACTAACAAGTACTTTGCACATGTTCCACTGCAGAACCATGCTATTCTTTGAAGTACCCTGGAGTGTCATTCAAATAACATGAATATGATAATCATTCAGTCCAATGACACCGCGACAGTACTTTAATACAGTTTTCTAAGAAGAAACATCCATCTGCTTTGCGATCGATTGACACGTGTTCTGGTAAGTTATGTCTTACAAAAGTATTACCTTTGCGACCGTTGTATGAAGTGTGACAAGACGGAGACTGGGACTGTTTGAGTCCGATCATTCGTCTCTTTGTTTTCATTTTGCTCTGGGAAACTTTGGAAGTTCTGCTCCGACTTTCTCTCGCATCTGATGATATATGGCGAACACCGATGTTTCTCTTGTCGGTCATGACTTATTTTAACTGATATAAACAATACCGCTCCAGTATTCATAACTTGGTTGAACTAGTGGAAAGATCTTTGCGATATTTGGTTTAAATCCAGAAAATGTTTGGGTACTCAGGGAAGAGTGCTCTCCTACATCGCCGCCATGTTTTTTTGTACGTTTACATGAAGGCGCGTTCCTGATTGGTCCTTGGCATCTCGCGACATCTCGTGAGACTTTGTCTTCTCATTGCAGCTTTTTAACCACAACAGTTTGACCTACTGGAGCGGTGCTCAATACTAAATACATAATACAACAATCCTTAAGTGCATGAGAAAAGAGAAAAGTCATTAAAATAATACAACCGGAACTAAAATAAATATACAATTAAAATCCATCCTGTAACTGAAACATGAACGTGAAGATTACCTTACAACAAATACACTCCTTTGGGCTTTGATTGAGTAAAGCAGTGCATTACGGATGCGTATTGTAGGATTCCAGACATGCCAGAAAGTAAAATGCCTAACTACATATTTATTAATAATAATAATAATAATAATAAACAGTTGTTGTTTATGTGTATCCATGCTTTTAGAATGTAAAATATTATATTTATTTATACTATAATTTTAATATTTTTTTTAAGTTAACATAATTTAATAATTGGCCATTGATATAGCTTGTTGCATGTCATAGTTCTCTAATCTAGTTGTTGACCTGTAGCAGCTAAAGAATCAGAAGTCTTGTACTGTCACAGAAAATTCAGAAACACAGAAAAGTAAGGCTCCACTCCTGGAATTCTGCTGTGCAAAAAAGAGATGTGGCCATGCCTTAAAGGGATAGTTCACCCAAAAATTAAAATGTGATGTTTATCTGCTTACCCCCAGTGCATCCAAGATGTAGGTGACTTTGTTTCTTCAGTAGAACACAAATTATGATTTTTAACTCCAACCGTTGCAGTCTATCAGTCGTATAATGCATGGCAATGGTAACAAAATCTATGAGAGTAAAAAAAACATGCACAGACAAATCCAAATTAAACCCTGCGGCTCGTGACGACACATTGATGTCCTAAGACACGAAACGATCGGTTTGTGCCAGAAACCAAACAGTATTTATATCATTTTTTACCTCTAATTCACCACTATGTCCAACTGTCTTTGAGCGCGCGCACGGCATCTGCTGTGTGAGGTGTGTACGCGACCCATATATCTTGCATTTTGTCAATAAATATTTCGTTTTGATCGCATTACAAAACCTCAGTGTTCTCAGATCTTTCATTGTGGAAACATACTTATGAAAACACATCTCTGTTGGTCTTCTGCCCATTGATTTCCATCCATTCGCTTGTCCTCAGTAGAGCATTACTAATGCCTGCTGGACACAATTCAGCTGTTTATCCCACAGCAGCAACAAAAAATGCTACAGTTCTCAGACATTTATCATAATACACTCTCGCTGGCTACCACACTACCTGTAACGATTTATTATAGAAGTTGGATTAATGTCAAGGACGTTGCGCTGCTTGTGTATTAAATATTAAATAAATATTGCTGTCTGAAGTTGGAAAACTGCTCTTTATACTGTAATAGGCATAGCGACAAAAGTAAAGAAAAAAGTTTAAGAATAAAGAATAAAGCTTACAGTATCATATTTGATATGCTAATTTTTAAGTCCTCTAAATTATTAACATGATCAAAACTATGCTTAAAAACTTGTTGAATACAATCAACTATACTGGACTTCTGTCAACTTATTGATAGTTTATACTTTTTAGCAAGTAAAATGCCTTTTAGTCTAATTGTAAAAATGTCCCCCTTCAGTTTGTGGTTCATGTTTTTTTTTTTTTTTTTGCTGTGAAATTTTTAATGATTACTATGAAGTAAATGCAAGAATAACCTTTCTTTTATATGATTAGTAATATTTCAAGATTTACTGGACTAAAGCAACTTAGGTTTACAGTACTTAATTATCCATGCATTTTTTTTTGTTAATAAAAATACTTTAATTTTGTACTTTTATAAAAATACTGCAATTATGAATGCACTGGAAACGTTCATAGACGAATCCATACAACATAAAAGATAATAAGCTACAATATAAAATTAAGATAAAAAAATACATTAATAAATGTCTCTCACTCAAACTGAATTGGTTAAAGAGTAAGACCTGACTCGGACTTGGACACAACGCTAATAATGTTAAAATGTGAATATCAACTTCAGTAGCACACTATAGGTGCTATATTGCTTGTATTGTGATTCAAGTTTGAATTGTACATGGATTTTAAATATGTATGTTTGTATTTATAAGTCTTTGCCAAACGAAAGCACTAGATGGTGCCTGTATTCTTTATAAGTGGTGTGTGTATGTGTGTGTGATGTTGTGGAGGCTGATATAGAAACGCTGTACGCTGCAGCCGGGCTCCCCTGCTGGAGCGGTGTGTGTGAGGGCCAGACGCTGCTGTCAGCACTCACAGCTGACACACACACGCCTCAAACTCTACCTGCTGAGAGGAACTACTAGTCCAAATAAAAACCTTGTTCCTCTGGAATAAATGGACAAGAAAAGGCCTCTATGAAAGCAAGCAAACTTGTAGTAGTAGAGTGTTATGGGCAAGTTCTGCTGTTGCACTTGCTCTGTTGGTAATGCACTGTAACAAAATGATTTGTCAGATTATTCAGCGTGGATGTTCCGGCATGAATCTGTGCCTCTGTAATGTAAGTGATATTAAATGCCTATAACCTGTCTATGTGTGATAATATAAAGGAAACACTAGTGATTCAATATAGATTGCATTTCACCTCCAATCAAAAAAAAGAAAGAAAAAATAGAATGTATTTTGGCCATATAAAATAAAGCTTATTTTATGACCATTAAGCAGTTGGACATCAAAATTTAAGTAAAATCTTACTTTTATGCATCTGGGCACTTTCTTTCTTTCTTATTTAAAAATGCATGGGGAAATTGTGCTTATGGTTTAATACAAAAATGGCAACTTAACAGTAAGGTTTCATAATTAACAGTAATTACTGTAACTATTGGTTCACATACACTTAAAATTAACTATAGCTGTATCTTTTAAGATGAGTTACTCTACTGTGAACTAACATGAATAAACAATGAACTATTGTATTTTCACTAGCTAACATTAACACAGGTTAATAAATGCTATTTCTCATAACTCGCGCATTAACGCTAACGAATGAGACCTTACTGCAAACCGTTATTTTAAAAATAATGTCACAATGCAAAAAAAAAATAAAAATAAACATTATAATGGTTCTAAAATTGGTATCATTTACTTAATGTAAAATATATTTTCTTTTTTGGAGGGATGAAATGTAACTCGAATATGTTCCTGACAGATTTTAAACGATTCACCCGTTTGTATTCATACAGAAAGTGATATAAAACCTGTTAAAATCATCAATTGTAGTGTGGCTCTAGACATCAAATTAATGTTAATTAAGGGATGATGAGGTATATTACTCTATAATGACATGCAAGCATCATTAATTAAGAGATTAGAATGGGATCACCATATGAAGATATATATAGAAAAGGTTATTGTTCTGTCAAGTGTGCTTTGTGGGTCATATAAAGCATCTTCAAGTCATGAGGTGCTCAACAGCGTGTTTAAAAGTCACCATAACACCCCTGTCACACGAAATGTTAGCATTTCACAGAGCTGGATAGTAAGACGGGGAAGTAATGTCACTTTCAATCTGAATATGAGTTTTTTTTTCCTTCACAGTGTTTTCCATCGCCTTTCCGCCACAAACGGCAAAATGCCAAAGGCCGCTGAGCGAGAACATTTGGCTTCTCGAGCCTCAGCCGCCCAACCCCTCTGCTCTCCTCGCCTTTTTTATTTATCTGTTCCGCCTTGGTTGTTTAGACCCAATTAAGAGGCTAATTGTGGAGATCAGGGAGGATTGCATTGTTGTAAAAGTACAGAGCGCATGGCTAATTGCCGCAGCAGCTGCCAGTGTTTATGAAAAGCCGGGCGGTTCTGCGGTTCTCTCAGAGGAGAGCGAGCTCTCATCCTCCTTCTGATGTGGTGGAGAGAGCCAGGTGAGCGGCGAGCAGTCGCCAGGGTGTGTATTGCGGGGCGGAACAGAATGGAAGCTGCAGAAATAATTACCACCACCGAGGGCTTCTCTTTCTCTTATCTTGGGCTCTCGCTCCCCTAGGCAGGCAGAACCTTGAGGATGACACCAAGCATGTGGTGGGACTCGGTGATATGGAAGGAGTCCAGGATACAGATCCGCTGTCAGCTTTTATCTAAATGATCTCACACTTGTCTGTGCCAGGTGTTTTGGGTGGGAGTATGTGAAATAAGGCACGCATCTTTGAGTCACCACCGAGGCTGTTGTCAAGCGATGCTACTGGCTCCCACAGCAGATGGGTTTTGCAAAGTAAACTTTAGGAACGTCGTTGTGCATGGCTGCAGCTGGTTTTGGATGGTGCTTGGATACCATCATGCATGCCTCTTCTCAAAGCAGAACATGATATAATGACCTGACACCTCTTTTGACATTGTCATTCTTTTGGCATTACAAAATTTCCTTTACGTTGTGGCACTGGCGAAATGTTTTTACAACATTTTTTTTGACATTGCAACTTTCTATTGACCTTACCGCAATTTTTGCCATTACAACATATTTCTAGAATTATGACTCACATCTGACATTGCATTATGTTTATGACATTGCGAGATTCTTTTGAAGTTGCAATATATCTTTTTGGAATATTAGTTTACTATTGCAACATGCTTTTGGCATTCCGACATTATTTGAGATTGTGAGATTCTTTTGGCATTACAACATTTTGTCATACAATCCATTTTCAGCTTTCTTTTGGCAATATTTTTTTGTTATGAGATACTTTTGATGTTATGACTAATTTGGCCTCACTTTTTTGCACTATGATAGTATATTGACATTATGTCATTATTTTGGCATTATGACATTCGTCTAATATGAAGAAAATTCATTAGCATTACAACTTTTTTGATATTTGAACATTCTTTTGGAATTGCAACATTCTTTTAATACTGCAACATTCTTTCACTTGGTAACAATAATTTGGCGTTATTACATTTTGCCATCATGACAGTTTATTTATTTTTATTTTTTTTGGCACTAGCATTCTTTTGTGATTGTAATATTATTTTGACTTATTACAGTATTCTTATGGCATGGTAACATTA